AAACTTAAGCACAACTTTACAAGCGATATCAATTTCAGTAAGTATTTTTAAATTGAGTTGAAGCATTTATATGACCTACAAGAAACCGGCAAGCAGCATAAATTTCAGTTAGGAAAATAACCTGACTCGAAAAGTTTGTAAATTGCGAGCGACCTTTGCGCCAAATAGTTAGTATTGACCCCCATTTGGTATCAGTTTTTTTTCTGTTCTGTTTTGTACGTCCCGGAAAAAGCGGAAAAGCGGAGTGGGAAATGCCAGAGTTCACCACAAAACTGTTCGCACCCGCTGGCGAAGAGTGCATAATAAAAAGGGCATCTACGTATGAATATTTTTTATACTTTCATATAGGAATATACGAATATAGGAAATGCAGGCCGTCAAGGCGTGGCAAGAGCGGCAGACAGAGTGGCGTCAAAAGTTGCCCGAGTTTTCGGTTGGGAGGGGGTTATACATGGGAGTACGTGCTACGTACGGAAGGGGCAGAAAAGGGGGGTTCCGAATGTTATGAAAACAACGGCAGCCAAAAACCACTTGGCACGGGCCGCACCTCGTTGTAGACCCAATGGTAAATGGTCGACAGTTTGATATGCGGTTTGGCAGAGCCAGCAAAATATCAGTTTGAGCGTAGAAGAAGCTGATTTAATTTTCCATGGCCGAGTTTTGAGTTTTTCCAGAGAAAATTTCGGAGAGAAAATGTGGGTGGTCTGTGAGTGAAAACCCAGCCTTTCGTCAAATGTTTACAAGCAAATATGCCACATCATCAGGGGAACAAGAAAAAAAGACTTTCTTCCCAACTTCAAAACGGATTCTGTAGATTTCTTCTCTCTGGTTAAAGCCGCGAAATCGGGGCGAACACAAAATACAATAAGTTGGAATTCGCTTTGATCTTTTCGCACTTTTAAATGTTTGAGAAATCTTTTGTGGCAGGCATGAATCGGATTTCGGAGAACCAATAAAAAATTAATGGCAGACGGGCTCTGGTGTTGTTCTTGTTGTTTTTGTTACTGTTGCCGCTGTTTCTTCTTCGGCTGTTATTTGTTTTTTAAATTTTCTGTTTGATAAAGCGCACCACAAACAAAATGGGTGGCGAAAATAAATCCTCCACCCCCCTTGGAAAGAAAAAAAAAGGAACGAGATGAGAAGAAATAAATACGTGTGAGGGCACAGAGATGTGCAACTAGTTCAGTGGAAAAACCAGCAAATGGCCTTCCTCCGCCCCATTTTCCATTTTCCCCTCCTTTAGCTTGCCCCTCAGCCTCCCTGATTTACATTTGATTCGATTGGAAGGCGGAAATCTTCGGCAATTGCAGATTAATGCCCTGACAGCTGCCTCCTGGCGAGAGTCCTGGCTTTCCTCTGCACGGGAAAAAATGTCCTTGAAATTAGAAAATTTTAATATTATCAGAAAATGAGTTACATGGAGATTTACGTATGCAGCAACCAATTAATATGTGTTCACCAGACGTAATAGTAATAGTACCTAAAAATAATATTTTGTTATTTAATAAATAACAAATTTAATAAATTTCCGAAAAGTTTACGAGTTTAAAGAAAGCAGTCTCCTTACCAGAATACTTTTTATTTTACTATCCATTACTTAAAATTTCTATTATAATTTTAAAGGCAATCAAGTTTAAATAGATATAAAATCAATTTCGCAACATTCCTTATAGATTACTCTTATTTAAAAATTTTAAAAAGAAGCTAATTAAATTTTCAAGTAGTTTTCGAGTATGAAGAAGTTAGTTTCCTTATCAGACATAATATTTATTTAATATTCATTAAATTTATATTTATTATAATTTAAATGCCAATCTATTTGAAGTAAAATTAAAATACATTTTAACACTAAATTAAATGCACTACCCATATCTTTTTCTATATTCATCTATATCTTTTCTATATTTTCTATATTCATTTATCAAAATTATAAATATTTTCTTTTCAGTGCCGCTGTCGTTCCTGGCTCTTCTCAGGTGTCAGGATACTTTGCGCTGATTAGATAAACATTTTGGGGAAATGTGTTAAGCCTTGTTTGGCTTTTGTTTTCGCCTGCCGGAGGGTTGGCCCTACCGATTGCGATTGCCTTTAAAGCCAACTTTCTGCGGGCCAGCAGAGCGGCGCTGCGCAAATGGCATTTTTATTGAGCCATTAAAATTTTCGGCTCGCCTTCGATGCCTCTGCTCCTGTCCTCCGAAAATCCTGTATATCCTGAGTACCTATTCTGGGTATCCTGGAACCCGTAAGATGGCCATATCTGGCGGCCAGGATATTTTTTTGTGCCCCCAGCCTTCTCCCCGCCGAACATTTTGATTAACGTGCTACTGATGCTCGTTTGCTGCGTTGTTTTTTCGGTTTCCCCGCCTTTTTTTATTTTTTTATTTGCCCGCAAAAATCCCACCTAAGGGGATAAAGTTGTGAAATATTTTGGGATTTGCGCGACTTAGGAGTTGTCCCATTCCTAAGATCCATTTCCCATTCCTTGGCGCTCTAGGTGATTAGGCAGCAATCCATATTTCTTGCGGCCAGCAATGGCCAACCAACTGCTACCGTTTTTCCTATTTATTTTATTTTCTATTCCCGCTCTAGGATTTATGTACATATTTGGCTTTGAGCTGGGGAATTTGCCTCATTAGCTTCAGCCCTCTGAAAATGTCCCACCTTTCACCCGGGGGGCGTGTGCGTGTGCTTATCACATGAATGTCATTACGCACCTTTCGGATTCCCGGTTCTCTGGGAAAGGGAATCTTGAGCCCCACTTTGGCCATAACTTTTTGGAACCCCCTCCTTCGGGGGAAGAAAAACAAAAACGAGTGAAAGTGCGAATGCGAATGCGAATCCGAATGGGAATACGTGAGTTCTGCAAGTTATGTGCGCGTAAGTGAATGAAATTACCGTAAGGCATTTAAGCAATGCAGGGAAAGACTCTGGGAATAGATACATAAATGACAATGCCGCAAAGCGTTTAAAGATGCCGCATAAAAATGCTGCCTGGGATTGGTAATGCCACATCCTCATCCCCATTCTCGTTTAGAACCCCTATACCATCCTCCCCTTCGGCTGACTGGTTGTCTTTTCACTCTGGCGAAGGCGCGCTTATCGTTTTGACAGGAATATCTGCGCTTTCTAAATGCCGACGCCGTCGTTTATGACGCTGACTGCTGCGCTTACGATTGAGTCTGAAAACCCCCTCTTGGAGTCCTTACTTCTTGCCACCAACCATTTCGAGCCATCCTGAGGAACCTTCTTTTGTCGCCGTAAAAACGTGCTGTGCCTGGTTGTTACTTTAATGGCTTTTACTCCCCACGAATCCCGGAGTCGTCAGGCGAATTATGGAAGCTGCCGTCGCCGCCATCGCCAGCTCCATTGCTATCGTCATCGCCGCCTTAAAGGCACTGCAAGAAAATCTAGGCCATCTAATTAGATGGTATATTTAAGAATACTGCAGAGAGAGAATGTGATAGGATAGCATTAAAAGAAATCTCATTTCTACAAATTAAAGATGTTAAATAAACTCTCAAAGTCAATGTCAAGTTTAATGGTCACCTTTCTTTCTTATGAGATAATAAAAACTATCTTAATAATTTATCTTCTTTTATACTACATATTTATAAATATTAAAGGATATTATAATCGGTTATCAATAGGTCAAATTGTAGAATGAATTATAAAAAGAGAGAATACAATAAATTTCATCTATGTATTTTTGTCGTGATGATCATTTGATTTAATAGTATATTAAGCTCTGCCAAATAAAAATAAATATTTCATAGTGCCTTTCATTGTAATCTAGTTCCTGGAACCCCAAAATAAATAACTATTATTAAAATTTGAAATTAAAAGAACTAGGAATAGTATTAAAATAATACTTTAAAATATATTACATGCCTTTTTCTCCGTGTATAAGCATCCTCATCTTCCTGGCTTGTGCTGGCTTTGTTTTTCAGCACTTTCGCGTGCCTGCGTGTGTATTTAATAGTCTGTGGTTTGACATTGACTGCCAGGCCCTATGTACGAATATACACACAACGAATCATATACAAATGTACATAAAGTGCGGGGCATTAAGGCCGCTCAAGTTGTAATCTGGGTGAAAGGGCTGGCGACGATGTCGTGCCAGGATCTGGATACCAGGATCTACCTGCTCCAGCCTCCCTATCTTTCCATAGTATGGCCCATCCAGAACTCCCACGCCAGCGATTCGATTATCGTGTCAAATTTTAATTACTCAAATTACATCTTGGCTTTTTATGCCCGCGACTTACTTCCTCAAATGCTCACTGAATCTCTGAATATTCCCCCCACTTTTCTACTTACCATTTCCCAGTTTATAATACATTTCCCAGCGAGTTGTCAACGCTGTCACAATGTCTCCTGGTCATTAAACATCCGACTGCCGAGGAGGCGTGGATTTGTGGCGAAATTTTAAAGCCTGCTAAATAAGTGAAATAATTGACCCGAGGTAAATTCCTTCAGACCAGTCGAAGAATGTGGCTGGGATTTGGCCAGGGGAAACAGTAGCTTAGGCGGCCTTAAAGGCAGTTTTTAATGAAAATGCTGCTAAGTATGCTATAAAAAGAGGTTGTTTTTCTACGAAATTTATATAGGGTTAATAAGTTCCCAGTGGACCAAGTGTTCGTTAGCGATATCGCAAACGATAGTTACGCGAAACTTAAACGGAAAACGGCTATCGCCTCGAATCCAAAAACGATGAAAAAACGAATCACTGGTCGCTCAGTTTGTGGCAGAGAAAGTTTCGTTTTCGATAGCTCGTAAACGGATCGTTTGCGAGCCTTTGGTGATATCTTTTGCGAGGCGATTTTAATATCATTAACGATCCGAAATTAATATTAGTAGCGGATCGAAAAAGATTTTATAAAAGGTGTTTCATTCCATTTCATTCCTACAGTGAAAGCAGTACTACATTTTTTGTTTTTCTTTTTTATTTTAATATCTTTTTAAATATGGACTCTTTAATATATGAGACTCTTTTGGAGTACTTAAACGTTTACTTTCTGCTTCTGACTTTTGGATATCCTGTCCTGGGCGTACTGGAAAAACTTCTGGGTTATCCGGTCGAAGTCCGCGTCTTCCAGGGAAAATTTTTCTTTAAATCCCGCTGTAAAAAAACGATTTTGTAATATGGTGCATTGTAATATAATTATTCGTATACAAAATACTTACAACGGATTGCTAGAGTAACGCGCAACCCCCTTATACATTTCTTGGCCTCGGTTCCACGCCAAGAGTACAGCCGTGCGAGGTCGTCGGACACTATTGAGCGCCAAGAGCTTCGAATCCATTTGTCAAACGCTTTCTCGCCTGACATCATAAGTTCAGAAATCTGTATAGAATATTACATAAAAGTTAAATTTAACTCGTGAGTTGCTGATTATGACTACTTACCAACTTTTTGAAGAATGCTTCATCCTTCAACATCTCCTCAAAACTGTCCAATTCGACAACTGTCTTAAAGGACTCAATAGGCATCGCGACTTTTGGCGTTTGGAGTTCTCCACAAATCTTGGCCTTTATAACTGATATTTCAGATCGAAGAGCCACCATTTCTATTGTGTTGCGATCGAGCTTAGTCATGATTATGTCAATTTTCTTATCAATTCTTATTAATTTATCTAAGATAGCTGTAAAAAAAACATAATTGTAATGTATTTATTTGAAAAACATTGAGACGTATTCTTACCTGACTGCTGAGTGTCTGGAACATATTCGTGTACTTCTTCTAGTTGCCCAGAATTTAAATTAAAAAGGGTTGCGGGGGTGTCTGACATTTTCTTATATTATTGAATTAATGGCAAGTATATGTGGACATCAGTATCGAATATAGGTAAGATTTTTCCAGAAATGTTTTCTATTGAATGCTGCAATACATTGCTATCGTAATTTATATTTTTTGAAGAAAATATACCGACAAGAGTTGAGTCTATTGGGAAAACAAAAAAAGGTTCAAGATCCACAACTAATCGGCTATGCAAAGTTTTATTTTGAATGTTACAAATTTTAAATATGTTGTATGTAGTGCTATCTCTAATAAAGTAAAAACTATTTGATTCTTTCAAATCAAAAAATAAATCTTTGTAGAAAATTTTATTTGTGGTGTTTTTAAAATCCAGCAATTTGCTTTTGGGCACAACGTTTAAAATACTTCGCTCTACAATACGATTATACAATTGCTCTATGACAAAATCAGATTTTTTAACCATATTTTTTAATTGGCCTAGAAAATTTTCGAATGGAAAAGAACTTATTGTCTCTAAAGAGCCGAAGGCAAGTGACTGCGCGCTTAAATGTGTTAGGGAATGAAAATTAAAAGTTAGCATTGGCAACAAATATAACAAAGGAAGTTGTTTTACGAAATCGTTTAGTAAACTGGATGCAAGTTGGTTTTTGGTGATACAATATTCTTTGTGAAGAAGAAGACGCATTCCAAGGCTGAATAGTAAAAAGTGATGGTAGCGGGTTTTGTCTAGAGAGTTTCTCAACACAATGGGCCCAGTATACAGCATAAATGTTCTGAATTCTGTTGCCTTGAATCTTTCAAGATCATCAAGAGATCTCGGCTTTCTATTGAACTCCCTAGGAATAAATCTTCTAAACGAAATGAGTTTAGAACTTATTAGGCTGATTGTAGGCCGACTCAAAGAAAATCGGTGACCTTTAACCCTTACTAAAGCCACTAGTAGTGTTTTCATAATGCCAAGACAAGCTACATGCATATAATCAAAGGGAAACTGATTGACCATATCAATAGGCAAGTTTTCTAAAGCTAGTTTATTCTGTAGGTTATGATGCTCTGGCTGTAAGCGATTTCGGAAAGTATAGTCTGTTCGAAGGGTGTTTTCTGAAAACTCAAAAACCATTCGCCTTTGAAAACTTTTACCCTTTTGAGTGCACTTGTTACAAGCAAAAAATCCTGTATGATGTTTAACACCCAAAATATATGCACGTGCTGGTGCATCGCAAACTATAGATCTAATCCCAATAAGAAGTTTTCTACCTTGATGCATCATGCCATCATGATTGGATTTGGAATTGCCAACATATATCCCAGCTACAAGAACTGAATTTGTGCCACTGATATTTATTAAAATGGGCCAGGCTTGCTTAAGAGAACTTTTAAACAACGGAAGTCCGTCTACATTTATATTTAGGCTTACGCTATTAGATAAATAGCTACTATTACTTAAAAAATCAGTTAGCGCGTCTTTACACCGTAGTGAAAATAGCTTCCTGGAGCTACATCCCTTTGAATTACTGCACGTGGTGTGCATTTTAATGTACGAACATCTCGTGGCAAGCCAGGAATTTTTTCAGACAACAACTGAAGCAAATAATTAGCTGGCCTTCTGCTGATATTATTTTCAGACATCCACTGACCTAGACGAGTATTGAAACTTTTTGGTTCGGAATTCTCAACTAAAACATTAGAACAATCAGAAACACTATCACAAAATTCCTCTGGAAAACTAATATCTGCCGCATGTTTTTCAACAGTATTTATCTTAGCAGTACTGTTTATTATATGTTTCGATTCGCATATATAATTCCTCCTCTTGCGCTTTAATGACATTATTAAATTCTATTGCTCTTCTCTTTACTTCCACCGCAAAATTCCAAGAAGAAGGCTGAAAAACGAAGAAGAACGCACATGTGATTTTTGATTTATTTCTGTTTTGTTTTTTGGTTTTAAAGCCGTTTTAACTCACTCTTTGGGTCACAGCACTGAACTAAACACTCAATTATAATTTAATTACAGATTTTGTTTTTTTAATAAATCACTTTTAAACAATTTCGGCTTTTATACGACTGCACTCTGCAAGTTTCTAAGCACAAAAGAACACACGCACAAAAGAAACGAACGAGAAACTGCGCATCAGCCATGGAAACAAGAAACGAAGTGGAACAAAAACGGTAAAGTCTCGCAAAACTATCGCAAACGATCTCAAAAGTGAATGAAAACTGGACATAAGGCTGAAAATAATGTCGCCCGGTTTTTGTTTACTTAACGCTCGTTTTTGAGTCCGTTTGCGAACATTTAACGAGACTTTAGTAAAAGCTCGCGGATTTCTATCGTTTCTAAGTCCGTTTACGAACATTTTGCGATAGTTTCGCTATACTATCGCGCCTTGGTCCGCTGGGTTAAAATAAAATGACTTCATTTAAAAATATTTAAAATGTCATTTTACAGTTACAAAACGGAAATAGCCATTGGATTATGTAGGTTCTAATAAAGGTGCTGAAAAGTATGCTATAATAAAATATATAGGTTATTTTTCTAGGAAATGTTTACTTAATAAATGTTACAAATATTATTTTAAATTAATTCAATTGAGATTAAAGATTTACAGGTAAAGCTCAAAATATTCCCTGGATGGTTAGACACCATTAAAGAGCCATCTCATTAAATTCATAAAAATTTCCCTTATCTTATCGCCGCTAATGCATTTAATATTGCCAGCGGACGGACCCTTTTCTGAGTTCATCAATTCGCTGGCGAATTTGACACGCATTTCGGTCTATTAACCAAAGGAAAAACCATACCAAAAAGGATTTTCAAGGCAACCAGTAGCCAGTGGCTGCCAAAAAATATCTCTGGCCATCTATCTTTGGTTTAAAATCGCCAAAAAACGTGACGAGGGGTGAGATGAAAATGAAACTGAGATGGGAAGCAAAGGGAAGGGAGGATCGGGGAAGATAGCCCGGGGATATGAAGCGACTTAGGCCGCGTTAGTCCTTTAATATGCCAAGATTGACGTCGATTATGCATTAATAGGACACGCACTATAAATAACGCGCCTTTGGCCCTAGCGAAGTCCTGTCGTGACGTCTATGGGCCTAATGAAGGCTTTTTTCAGCATACGTTCCACGTAGTCGCCCGGGGGAGCGAGTGAAAAAGAGGCTGCCAGAGAAGTGCACTGGGAGAAAATGTGGGTTATGAATGAGATATATATGTTTGCATTTCTCACTTGTTTTTGATGAAACTTTAATTAAATAATCCAGAGATTTATAGAGATAAGTGATAGAAATTAGAGATAAAAAATGAAAAGGTAGCTTATAAGTTATAGGTGTCTAAAAGTATGCAGCAAATAGTGGACTGATTGAATTCATAGTTTTTTTGAGTTTAAAATATATTGTTGCATACTTTTAGATACCTATATTGACATTTGAGGTTACAAAACCTTTGTGATTTCTGAATAATATTCAAGTAACCACTTCATTAGTTCTGATTTTCTTACACTCTCAGTTTAAAGAACCTTTCAATACAAAAAACCTAATCTCAAATTCACATAAATCAATCTTTTACATCCGTGTTAATTTTCTACAGCGGCTTTTTCGATTTCCGGCGGACTTTGTTCCGTGTCTCCTTATTTTTTTTAGCAGTGCAGTAGGCGTCACCACCCATTTCGAATTTTGCGCTGACATTGATTTGCGCATACATTGCAAATCCAAAGAGAGGACAATAAATGCCTCGGTTGCTGTTGCTGCTGTTGTTGCTCTTGCTGTTGTCGTTGGACCATCCTTTGTATTGCTGCTGTTGTTGCTCCTTGTGTTGCTGCTGCGGTTGCCTTTGTTTGGTCTGTGACAGCTTTTAATCTGGCACGAGGCACAGCAGCAACACCAAATGTTCCACAGCAGCAACAACAATGGCAAGGAGCAGCAACAATGGACTATTCTATGTCTAAAGTGCCTGGGACGCCGACGACGACTGTGTGGCATATTTGAAAATCACTTTAGTTCATATTTCGGACGCACAGCCTGAGACCTCAGCCAGTTGTCATTGCGTTCCTAATGCCTGTCCAAAGCGTTAATGATGCGGTTGCTGGTCAACCGCAGCAGTCGCCGCAGCAGCAACTAGCAACACCCACTAGATGGGTAGATGAAAACCACCCAAAAACCACCCATCTAGCCCATTCCCATTCCCGCCCCCTTGTCCTTCACGCAATTTACATAATGGTCGGCTCCTGATGCAGGAGAGATGCTTTCAACAACAATAACAACGCCAGCAATAGCAATACCAACAGCAGCAACAACAGCAATACGAGCAGCAATACCAACAGCAACATCAACAACATCAGCAGCAAGAACAACCGTTGATGGCACGTTTTTGATTTCAATTGCTATTGCCAGTAGTTTCACTTGACTTTATGTGCTCCTGCGTCTCATCCCTAAATCAGTGCACTGAGAAAAGAATAAATTAGTAAAACCTAGAACTATTTTAATAATCGCTTACTGTGAGATCTAAAGCTTCGTTTACTAAAAAATATTATTTTAAAATTTTCTATAAAATCAAAAATTTAATTAAATCAAATAAAGGTATAATTCCTTAGTTGATAATGTTACCAAATGTTAATTGATATATATTTATAACATAACTGAAATATAAGGGGTATCAAAGATATAACTAGGGTTTGTAATTGTTAAATTAGGTGTCTAAAAGTATGCAAAAATATATTTTAAGCTCAGAAATAGGATGAATTCATTCAGTAAGTCTACCGTCCTTTTTTTACTGCTTGCTTTTAGACACCTTTTATTTTCACTTATTATTAGTTTCACTTATGATGCTTTCTTCAGTAATGTAAATCTATTTAATTCTTCGAACTAAACCCCTTTCTAATTGGTTTTCCTACGAGTAACTCATATTTTCTCGGCGTGCAGCCATCTTTCTCGTCGTTTTCCGTTGGGCTCTGATGTCTGGCCTATATAGGTTGCTTGGCGCCATTTTATGTACGTAGCAAAACAAAAGTTATGGCCCGATTTTCCCTATCGCCTATGTCGCTCGGCCCCACCCACTTTCTTTTTTCTGATTTTTTTTCTGCTTTCAGCTTTGCCTCTTCGGGTTGGGGGCGTTCTCTGGTAACAAGTGGGACATTTGCCAGTTTGCCTGGCCGTTGTTATTGTCCTTGTTGTTGATGTTTGCTGGCAGCAATAAAAACAAGCAAAAAATGTTGACGCCACCCTTTTTTTCCTCGCTCCGCTTGGTGGACCAAAGTTACGCATCTAATAGGAAATCGGCATATGTATATGTGTACACAATGGAAATCCTAGTTTTCCCCATTTCCCAATCTCGAAAACCCAATGATAATTTTAAGCAAACGAGCGGAGGGCCCATAGTGAAAGTCAAAGTCAATTACGTGGCGCTTTCACAAATCTTTCTCAGCCAGGACAATCGTGTTAAGGAGCTGGGGTTGGGGGGCTTTTGAGGGAGATTGGGTGGGGATGCTATGGCAAATTAATAGAGAACACACACGTAGGCAGGGTCTTACCCACACACACACACACACATCGCCTCGTAGTCTCGTAAAATGTAATGTCATAAGTGCTGCTCTGAACCTAAAACATTCCGCCTAACGCGACCTCCTTCCCCACGCGACTCCATCTATTGCCTTTTTCCCTTTCTCATCTCGGTAATAGCCAAGTGAGAATCCTTGGCTGCGATATTACGACCTTCTCATGCCCAGTAACAGGTTTTTTCAATCTTTTCCTGCTCACAAAAACGCTGCTCTTACCAGAACTCTATAAGTTTGTGTTATATGAAGTTCCTGCTTGGACAGCAAAAAATGTTATTGGCTTATTGTTATTAAGGCTTTAGTATTTCCTAATCCTATCCTTACAGATCTGTAAATTATCCAACATTTTAAAAGTAAAAGTAATAAGTTTAACATCATTAATTGGTTTTGTTTCCAAGCGATTTGTATTTTTATTTGTAAGAATATTTTAATAAAAGAAAATAAAAAGATTGGTATTCTTAAGAAAAGGCTAAAAATGTTTTTTTTTTTATTGGGTTATTATTATTATGATTGCAGATTTTTTATCCCTGTTTTTCAGACCTTGAAATCATCAAACATTTTACAAATAATATTTTGTACTCTTCTATGAAAAGAATATTTGACTAATAACAAATCAAACTATTCTTTAATTTAATTAGGTACCCTAAAGGCCCTAAAAAAAGGCATCTAAAAAATACGAAACACGTTGAAAAGGTAGACTACAATTAAATATTCGGTTACTGGACCCTCTTCAGCAGATCCCACACCCACTAGTCCCCGAATTCGACATACCCTTACCCCAAAGAGAAAACAACGGGTACAAAAAGTGGCTTCAACTTGGGATGCTTCTCTTTTTCGGCGGAGGGGAGTAAAATATTCGGATTAGTTATGCTGTTGGTTTGCCCGGGGCAGTGTCTGCTCGGCATCCTCCCCCTCGCACTGAGTGGTGGGTTGTTGGGCCCTTTGTGTCCTCCGCAGGACTCGCACTCGACCAGGACGAAGATGGAGTCCTTGGACCCCAGGACCATAACTAATTCCATGGTTATGTATTGTAGTTTCCTGCGCTGCCGTCGCTGCATTCATTCATTCACTCACAAATTGGCAGGCAGCGCTTGAGGCTTGTGCACTTGTGACCAAAGAGTCACTGGACTATGGACCCAGGACTATAGACCACCCATCAAGGAACTGTTGCTCGCCGAGGGGAATCCGGAATCTGCTCTGTTGTTCAGTCAGTTAGTGGCTTATTTGTAGGCAAACATTCGCCGGTGAGGCCCCGGGATCCATCTAGTTCATAGATTTATCTAAAATAAGTGAACCATCTAATTGTTCAATAAGTTCATCCTGGGCCCCGAGCATCGCTCCTTGTTGCTTGTTTAGAATATCCCAGGGAATGAATAGCCAGCTTAGGCAAATGGAATCCCCCCACCAGCTCTACTCCATACTCATCGCCCGCAGGCTCCGACCTCTAGACGTGCTTAAACCCAAAATTAGGGGTGGTTACAGTGGGTCCTGGGTGGTTTGGGTGGCTTGGGTGCTTCGTCCTTCTTACGGGCCATAAAATTTAAAAGCGAGCAAAGCATTTTAGCTCTGGTGCAATTTATTAGGCCGGCTCATCGCGCCGCATTTCGGGCCTTTGCGTAACAATTGCCTTCATCTGTTGATAAATCCCTGGCATGGCACCAAGTAAATTGAAAATATACCCCATCGACTACTCCTCCGAGTTCCGTATCCGAATCCGAATCCCGATGTGCAGCCAACTGTGTCGCAGTTCTAATTATCCACGCACATGTCTGCTGGCAAGCGTTTCCCGAACAGGCCAACTTCTTCAACTTAAACTTGGGTTGGTGTTAAAAGGGGAATTGTTGTTCCAAAGTCCTTAATTTAAGTGAAGTAGGTGCTACAAAAATTCTAAAAAATTATAAAAAATATTTACTGATGATGTAGAAGAAAAGTTCCTCGTAGACTGTACCTCCATTGAGCTGAAGACCGGGCTTAAAGCGAGCCCAGAGGACACGGTAAAGCAGGAGCTTCCGCTTCTGTCTTTTATGCAACTGCAGTGGCCACCCGCTGGCTGCTGGCTCAGTGGCAAGCAGCAAGCGGCATTCAAAACAGCAGCCAGGACGGGCCGCCAGCTGTGCAGCTGCCTCCGCATCCGCAAGTGGCGTGAAAGTTATGAATTTTAAACATTTTCTGGCAGGGCATCGCCGGAGCCAGAGAACGCCCCTTTTTGGCCACGTCCATATATTAGTTTCGGTGTCTTCGTGGCGTCTGCAGATTTATAGCTGGCCGAAATCTGCAATTGCGGGTGACTCCCCCCGACTCGTTTTCGCAGAAATTGTAAGAAATCTTTATAGAAAAAATACCAAAAGGATGTATAAAAGCAGTTGCATCACTTAAAGCTAAATATTATTGTCTTTTGTCTGGGCTTTCTCAGGAAGCTGCGCTGCTGTTGCGCCAAATATCCACATCCGTTTGGAGGCATTTTCGGAATTTGTAGTTGACCAGGCCAATGGAATACATCGGGTTGGCGGCCTTGTAAAAGTGCAGACCTCGTCCAATCTTGATTATGTAGCCATTGCTTAAGCTGCAGCGAAAAAGAATAGATAAGATATTTTATATATATATTTTTGCAGTAAGGTGGATCGATTATAGTTGGGATGGTACTATTTATTTTTAATTTTGAACTATTATTTATGAAAATATTATTGATATTAAAAAAATAATTGGGTAATGGATTATGGATAATTTTGGATTCTTAAATACTTTTAAATTTTTTTCACCATAATAATCGATTCACCCTACTGAACATATTTTTTGCTGACGTGACGCAACTCTTTTACAAGCTTACTAGATTTTGCGATCGTGCAGCGAGTCTTCGTATTTTATGGAGAAGGTAATGTTTCTCCGCTCCAAATCTCCTTTGATCTGTCCAAGATTTGTTCTTTGTTGATCGGGGTTCTTGGGATCCTGGTACTCCTTGGTGACCAGGCGAAAATACTTTAAATTTGGGCAGTTGGTGGCAGCTAACTCCAAGAATCTCACTAGGTTTTGATACTGCAAGAGGTTAAATGTTTTAATTATTAAATAATCTGCTGGAAATATGATTAATATTGGTTACTTTGGTATTAACATAGGCTGCGATCATTTTTTAATCTTTATTTTATACATTTTATACTTATTTTGTAGGTACTGATAACTTCTTATGAGGTCATACTGATCCATCATATGTGGCTTGGTGAAGAACCTTTAATACCTATGTAATGTAGGTATTTCAAAGATATTTATTAACTTTTTTAATGACCTAGCTGGCCTCTAAGATATTGTTTGAATATTATATGTTTTTATATCTTATATCTTCCACTAGTTATGCACTTTTTTTCAGACCGGTTTTAATAATATCTTGCTTACCTGATAGTTTTGCGTCATATAGGGCTCCTCCAGCATTATCTCCACTGTTTTGTCATCCATAAATTTTCCGAAGAGCTGATCGTAATCGAAGCCCGTGTCATTTTCGTCGATGGAAACGTGGGAAACAACTTCGCCGAGCATGAGTTTTCCGTTAACGCGCGCTTTTATGGCATCCGCCCGATCCATGTACTCCTTGATCCTGGTGAGGAATCCTTTCCGCTTCGCCTCATCCGGTTCTCCGTTTACGAACTGCATTAGCTGAGCAATTCCCTCCGTGTAGAGCGTCTGCGCCTCCAAAATCCGCGCATTTTGGTCGCATTCCACGGCGCGTATGAGTAATTCCTTGGCTTTCAAAGCGTTGCTCATCTTGGCATCTCAGTAGGGAAGTTTCAGTACTCGAAAGTGGGTTTATCTTGCTGTTAGGGATCTTTTAAGCGAGGATCGTTTACATTAAATATCTTTTTGCCACGAAAATCAACAAAGAAATCGCCATCAGCTGATTGTGAGACCGTAGCGCGCTAGTCTGAAAATTCTGAAATAGCGGGAGATACTGGTATTTATATAGTGGCGTACCGTTATTTTTTGAATTTCAGAATTTTTAGATAAGACTTTTTTTAATTTGCTAAATAAATTGTACAAATAATGCAAATAATTATATTTTTATAAATAAGCAGTGCCCAATATTCAAGAAATAAAGAATGTTAGAAATATACATATAATATAACCATGAATTTTAATTTCTCTGCAATAATAACAAACAATTCAAGGAAAAATGTCTGGATCAAACGGATGTTAATTTATTTTTAAGTGCAAAAAAGGAAATGTATAAAAGGAGGTTAAACTTTAAAGCTGCCTCTGCCGGATATTAAATTATTTATTCCCCGAGTGGATTATTCTTAACTGTTTTTTACCTTTCGTTATTTTTTCTCTGGCAAACTTTTCAATTGCAACATGTGCAAATTAAAAACGTCCCAAATTTGCATATTTTACTGTGGCCCGATGACGTTCCCTTTATGGCTGTGTCGCTTACGAGCAATTACCTGGAATCGAAAACGAAAGCGTTTTATCGCCAGCCAACAGAACAGAAACAGCCAGACATGCCAACATGGAGCCAAATTCAATTTCACTAAGCCAAATATTAATTTATTTGTGTTTTCATTTCTGGCTCCCAAACCGCCAGGTGACCAATGGATCTGGATCAGGACGAGGACGAGCATGAGGATGAGGGACCATCCAATCCAATCGGAGTCAGCCAAAGGAAAAACCGAAAACGTTTCGTGTAATTTCGAGTATTGGGCGGGGTGTTTTTCTCCGCTTTTTTGGGTGGTGGCTGAGTGGTTTTCCCGACCATCCCGAGTCCGTATTTTTATTTATGTCATAAATTTTAAGCCATTGGGAGCTGTGAACGGGAACGTGACGTCAGCTTATAGTTCGCAATGCGGGGCTTAAATTTTTCGCATTTTAAATGCGTATTAAGCAGAAAGAAAAGTCATTTTAGGTGATTCGACATAAAACCCGAACCCCGAGTCCGCCACCCAGCTCATCCAATTGCGAATAAATATGGCTTAATACATGCGTGTGGATGATGTGCTGCCATTTGACTATGCAATTTGTTTGCGTCGATAAAGTGAAATGTCAAAAAAATAGAAAAAATCTCATAATTCGAAAAGCCATCGAATGTGATGTCAAATATTTGAAATTTAAATGAAAACTTTATTTGGCGAGTCGAATAAAATCACTATTAGTGGATATCTCGTAAAGGAATGTGTGATTTCCATAAAAAAAATACTCAAATGATTAAAGTTATTTTAGAAACTAGAAATTTAAATAAGAATAGGAAATAATAAATATAAACATAGCTTTTATAAATTATGGTGATCTATGTATGTATTATCTTCTTTTTGTAAAAACAATTTCAAGTTTAAGAAAATATTTTGTTAAATTATTATTGTTTGTATTTTTAATAAATATAAAAGTTATTTTCTTTTTATTCCTCTTATAAAATTGATATTAAAATAAGTAAAATAATGATGTTTAAATGTAAATATATGTTGGACTTTGTTACTTATTTCTTAAAACGTTTTCTTTAAAGAAATTGTTATAACTTTGCATTCTAGATTAAAATTCCTTAGTAACTTCCTCATGTAAATGATTTAAATAGTTTCTAAGGATCCTAAGAAAACATTGCATACTTTCCGGCTTTTAAAATTCAGTCGGGGGAAATTAATTTGCCATCTCGAAAACAAACTGTTTTTATTTGTAAATTAGACAAGTTGAAGTGAAAGTGAAAGTGACCTTGTTAAAGACAACATGAGATGGAGAGGACGTTGAGCTGCTGCTGCTCCTTTGAGTGCCACGCAGGACTAACTTTTTGTTTGGAATTAGTGGAATTGTATCTTGTAAAACACAAACTCAAGTGGGCTAAAGCTGCGAGCCTAGAGCTCTGGGATATCCATGGATATATCCACATGTCACCCAATAATGCGCTGTGATGTGCCAAGCCACTTGTCCGAGTGTCGAGTGGTTGGGGGGTTTTCAGGAGTGGGGGTTACTTTGCCAGGAGGTTACGGGGTGGTTTTGCCGAGGGGTTAAGTTCTGGGGTGACTTAGAGGATGGTCTATATAGGAATCCGAATCGGAATCGGCATCTTTCGCTTGGGGGGCAGTGGTTAGCTGGGCTTAGCTCATATTACGGGTATCTTGGCGCCAGCTTTTTATCGACGATTATTTTTCTTTAACTGTGCGTGTTGTTGTTGTTGCTGCTTCTGGCCCGATTTTATTGTTGTTGCCTGTGCCTTTTCGCTCAATATTTGCTTGCTAGCTGCCTCTTCTTCTTCTTAGTCTTTTGGCTTCCTTTTTTTCCGCCACTTTTGCAGCCTTTCTCGTTGATTTTTATTTGTTTCTCTTTCAATTTATTTTGTCATTTCGTTTTCCTTTCTGCTGTCATTGCTGTAGCTGTTGTTGTTGTTGCCACTGCCATTTTCATCGCTTTTATTACAAACACACACACACTCACTCACTCATACAGGAGCAGACACATGTGGAGCAGCTCCCCACATTGTGTATGTGTGTGTGTGTCCTTCACAGTCACAGTCACAGGCACATTTACAGTCACACATTCACAGTCACATTCGCAGTGCGTGTTTGTCAGTCTAACTGTGTGCTCAGTGCACTGCGAGAAAACTGGGTAAAGCTAATAAAGGATTAATAAATTAATAAGTAAGGTTTATCTTGGGAAATTTGAACTTTAAAAGGTTTTAATAATAGATGATTTTGATTTTTACACGGAAAAAGAATTTTTATACTTAAAAGATACTCTTAAAGGAATATTGAAGTCTTAAATCATAAGTAGTATTTAACCTTTTTTCTTTAATTTTACATTCATACAAAAAGTACAGGTGATAATACAACCTGTTATATGACATTTTCTATATATAATGTGGAATACAATTGTTCAAATGTTTACCAGATAAACAAACTTTTCGGTTTACAGCTTTATCCATTTTTACTCATTATGGGCAATGTTTTAAAAATATGCATATAAGGTTCTTAGAATTTCATTATTTAATTTACAATCGAAAGGGTGCTTTCTTAGGGATTTGAAATTCATCAATAAGGTGTCTAAAATTTTAATTGCCTCCAAATTTGTATGCCACTAAAAATTTCTAGTTTCTAATTACCCATTAGTTTTTGAAGCCTAGATAGGAGCAAAAACTTACTGTGTAGGATTTAAACTTTCTTGAGCCCTTTCGACGCGCGTATTTCTTGGCTTCTTGAGTGCATGCTATGGCATACCCTTGACTTTCCATAGCTTTTTGCTCAGTGTGTTTGCGAATCTGTTTGTTTGCTGCTAAATGTGCGCTCAGCCCGCCACTCATTTATGTCGTCGATGTGCCACAGCCGCTGTCACCCTGTCCACCCCCTGGAAAAACAGCCCCTCGCCGCTCATCAAACAGCAGCAGCAGCAGCAGCCTTGCCACCCATTTTCTCAACCCCCCTCCTTTCCCCCTTTCCCCGCCCCCCGGCACGTTCGTTCGTTAACGTTCAGTTTTCCACTTGATGCTATTTATGTTTGCTTCCATTTTTCAAGAAGGATCAAAATTTATATTGGCTAAAAAGTCCCTCGAGAGCTTTTTACCCCCACCATTGGGTTTTCTTTAAGGAAACAGCCCGCTGCGCCCCGTTCCTCATCTCATCACACACTCTTACAGATGTAACAAATTGTAACACAATCGTAACTGTTTACCCGGGGGTCAGGGGTCGCCGAAAATCATAACCTCATGAACTTTTGCGCCCCCTTGCGGAGAACGCGGTAAGTGGCCACGCCGCCTCCTTTCATTTTTAGCCCACATGTCCCTCAACTCGAGCGATTGAATTGAGCTGTGCAATTGTTTTGATTTCTGGCCCAGGGCCTTCATTTTCCCGCTTGTTCCCTGGCTTTTCCTCAGCCATTTTCCTAGGACCCCCCCTCCACCACTCCCCAGTACATTATGACTTCTCGTATTTATCGCCTGTGTGGCAAAAATGTAATAAACAATTCGAGATGCTTTATTGCTCTGCAGCAACTCAATTTATATGGCCTGGCCTTTGAGGTGCTCTCTCCTCGATTTCTTCCAAGACTCCTTGGCGTTCCATATACTCTAGATCCTGGCCAAAAGCAATCCCCATCATTGCCCCTTCCACTTTGGCCTGCTTTTGTTGTGCGTCAGTTTCCCTATTAAGCACACACAAATTGATGATGTTAACAATGACGGTACAGAAAAATCAACGGCTCCATGACTGGACAGAAAAAAAGGAAGAAAAAGCTGAAGTTTCTGCCGGCGAACCGGAACAGCGCATGGCCAACTGAAATGGAAACTAGCTGGATATTTCGGAAGTCCACTATTGCAGAAATATGTAGTTCAGGATATATGGGTTCTATTGGAGGTGTTCCAGAAATCATGAAATTTATTGGGAAAATATATCATGAGATGAAAGAATATTCAAACTCAAGAGAAAATAATCTTAGGGAATATAGATTTCCCAGAAATTAAAAGAGACATATGGGTTCTATTGGAGATGTTTCAGAATGTATCCTTTTAAAGAATTAAAGAAAATGAAAACATGTTTATAAAAAGATAAAATAACCAAAAGGAACCAACTACTGGAAAATATATCAAAGGATGAAATCATGTTAATACTAAGAGAAAATATCCCCAAGGAAAATAGATTTCCCAGAAATTAAAACAGAAAAAACTTTGATCCATGTCCTCCATAATCCCCTGTAAATAAATTTAAAGGCTTGTTCGGGGCTAAGAAAATAAACACATTGAAAAATACATTATCATATTAAACTCTGAATAAATTTTATGGCCAACATTCAATTTTTGTTTCGAGCTCACGGTTGAATGAGCATCATGTGTTTTTTATGGCTTAAAGGTCATGCAATGAAGCTTAAGTAATTGTATTACAAAAGGTAAACACAAGAGAATAAATGTATACATTTATTTTGCATAAA